AATTTCATTTGAATTACACTTGAAACACACATGAACTATACGTGAACAGCAGTAGAATTGAGCGGCACTTGAACTAGATGAGCAACACTTGATATGTCTGCACAGCAGATGTACCACGCTGGAACTACATCTGATTTTCAGATGAGCCATACTTGAATTACACTTCCGCTACACGTGAACCATTTTGAGTTACAGTTCAACTACAATTGACTCACACTGGATCTGCAAAGACTACACTGCAACCACGCTCGAGCTACATGAGAATTGCACTTGGACCACACTTGAGCCACAGTTGAATCACATGTGAACTACCCTTAAGCAACCCTTGAACTACACGGGCTACACAGTAACCGCATGATGAACCCACTTGAACCACACTTGGATCGCTGTTGAACGACTCATGAGCAACACTTGAGTTAGTTTGAACTACATTTGCACGACATTTGAATTACATGTGAATTTCAGAGATTGCACGTGAACAGCACTCGCACTACACCTGCACTACATGTGGACCACACTTGGACTACGCATGGGCTACACTTCGAACACGCTTGAACCACACATGACCTACACCTGAACTACATTTGATCTGCAATGGCTACACCTGTTCCCACTTGAACTGTACCTGAACTACTCTTGAACCACACTTGAACTACACTTGGCTACACTGAACTACAATTTAACTACACTTCCACAATACTTGCGCTACGCGTGAGCCGCACTAGAATTACATTTGATCTCCGACCAACACCCGAAGCACACCCGAACTACACTGGATCCGCGCCTGACCACGCTTGAACGACATAGAAACATTTGAACCACACTGGAACTGCACTTGAGCTACAAGGACTATACCCGAACCGCGTGGGGACTACACCCGAACTGCACTTGAATCACACTTGAACTATACTTGCATTACATCTGGACCACGCTTGAGCTACACTTGGAGGTCACTCGGACCACTCTCGAAATAGATGGACTGCGCCTGCACCTTGCCTTGCCTGACCTACACCTGGGCTTCCTTCGAACAACGCTTGACCTACATTGGTTTTCACTTGAACGAAACTTGAACTACACCTGCACCTCGCTTGAAGTACGAATGAGCTGCAAGGGCTACACCTGCACCGCACTTCCACTACACTTGGACGGCGCTTGATAAACGCAAGAACTAAACTCGAACCACGCTTGAATTACACCCGGGCGACACTTGAACTACAAGTGAATTGGACTTGAGCTACACGGGCTACACCTCCTACGCACTTGCATTACACCTGAACCTCATTGGATAAGCCTACGCTTGGGATGCACGCGGGCTTCACGTGAACGACGCTTGGAAAACATTTGAGCAACAATGGAGGCGCCTGGCGCACACTTCAACTACACTTGGTTACACTTTAACCAGACTTGAACCACACTTGCATCCAACCCGGTCTAGACTTGAAGGTCACTCGAACCGCACTTGAGCTACACTTGAAGTGTACTTGCGCTACAAGGGCTACGCCTGTACCACACTTGAGCTGTACCTAATCTGCATTTGCGCTACACTTGGACTACACTTGAACAACCTTTGAATTGCATTAGTTGTACATTTGAACTACAATTGAACTACAAGGGCTACGCATGCACCACAATGAGAATACGCCCGGATGACACGCGGGTCCTACTTGGGCGACGCTTGAAACCCACGTGGGCTACACTTGAACTACACTTGAATATTTCTCGCGCTACACTTGAGTTGCATGGATGACGCTCCGCCACAGTTGAGTTTCACATGAGCTACATTTGAACCCCACTGGAACTTCCCTTGGACCCCCTGAGCAGACACGCGAAGTACACTTGAACAAGATCTGATCTATACTTGAACTACACTTGAACTACAATGGCTACACCTGATACACACTTGAACTACACCTGGACTTCATCTGGGACGCACCTCGGCTACGCTCGAACTACATCGGAACCGTACTTGAACTACAAGGGCTACACCCGAGTTGCACTTGAACTTCGCTTGGGCTACAGTTGAACCACACTTGCGCACGCAAGCGGGCGACGCTTGAGCGGGTGAGCCAAAACCCAGGATTGCGCCAGGACTTCCCGTGCTGCGACTGCGCTCCACACACGGCACTGCGGTATCTCGCGCATCGCACGCGCGAGGTTGCGACGCTTCCTGCGCCGCCATGACGCGCAAGCCCCGGTGCATCGTCGACACCAGCAATAGCGACTAAGCCGGTAAAGCAACGCGGAACCAAAGCGCACCCGAAGTTGCGACCCCGTAGCAAGTTAACGCGCGTGATGTTTGTCATTATTTCGGCATTCGCAGGATCGTTTTTCAAGCCCCCCTCCAGACTGCCGTGCAGTTTATGCAGAGCCAGTCATTGCGCGCGCGCCCGCGTCCCACAGGCATTTCGCGCAACGTGCCACGTGCGGGTGCGACCAGAGATGGCAAGCGCCTGATCGCATGCATCATCCGCGTTTTCAGTTGCGTGTGCCATGTAGGGCAGCGGCGATGGCGACTGTTGGAGATTTCCGTGCCTGCTCAGTCGTGCTCTGGCGGCCCGACCTAATTTGATGATTTTTGGTTTGTTCGGTCTCATACCAGCAACCGACAGAAATCACAGTTCCGGGTCGGGCGGGGTCTGCCAGAGATGGCGTGCACACAGTGTCCGACTTCATTCGGTGATTTCGGTTCGTTCGGAACTCATCGAGCAATCGGCTGTCATCTATGTGTTTGGCGTCGCTTGCCGCGCCCAGCAAAGTGCCTCCTTCTCATTGTTTTCCTCCTCCTCCTCCTCCTTCTCCTCCTTCTGCTCCTGCCGCGTTTTCCAATGCTCTGGGCGCCCGCCACTCGGCGCCGGCGGGGCGCGCTGAGCTCGGCGTCATCCGCCGTGCCGGGCACGGGCCCCCTCTTCCTGTATTCCCCGTCCTTCTCCACCTCTTTTCCTTCCTTTTCCTTTTCCTATTCCTCCTCCTCCTACATTATGATTTGCCACGTTTTCCCCTGCTCGACGGGGTTCCAGGGTTGGGCCTTTCCTTTTCCAGGGTTGGATTGTGGGCACCTTTTCCAGGGTTGGAAGTTTTCGTTTTCGTGTTCGGTTTTCCAGTGTTCCGCCCAAAGTTTCCAGGATTGGGACACCGACCCAATGTGGGCACGTCTTTGCACGGTTTTTTCGAGTTCACCGTCGCATCGGGCGCTTCGTCCCTCAAGGCCGCACTCTGGCGCCCGAACGCCCAGCGGAAACGGAGTAAGCGAGGAAACGTTTTATGACGAAGTGTCTCCTTCCGCCAATGTCATCGGGCATCGCCTGGCAGCTCAGCTCGTGAAGCCGCCCGTCATGTGGTCATGCTAGTCATGCTCGTGTTTCCAATCGCACTGTTTCGACACTTGATATCCAGGTTCGTCGAAGCCCACCGCGGCGCCTTCCAGGAATGCTTCCCGGAGAGGCGTTGTTGGTGGCCGTGCGTCCGTCCGCGCATTGGCATCCCAGAGATCATCTAGACTCCATGTTTACATTGTATTTCGGGCGCCCTGGGAACCTGCGATGAAGCTGGGTTCCTGCACAGGCATCCACATGTCCACATAGGAACGAATCGTTGTGGCTGGGGAACTGTGCACGACGAAGCGGGGGGGAGGAGTGGTCGGGGAGAAGTGGACGGCGCAGCATGCCTCGCGCCGCTTCTGGCCGAAGGCGTCCTCGTGGTCGCGAACGACACTGCAGAGGACATTGGAGCCAAAACAACGAGCAGCGCGGAGGAGGACATTGGGGTCGAAGCAACGAGGAGGAACAGCAGCAGCAGGATGCGTGTAGCAAACGCGGGTTTGGCCCAAGTGCACAGTGGAAGTTCCCAGTGCATCTTAGCCAAATGACGTCTTGGAAGCCACGCTTACGGACTCCCAAGGATGTCGCCGAGTTGCGTCCAAGGTTCTCTCGAATGAGCAACTCGACGCAGGTCCAGAGCGCTGAGAATGTCACCGTCGGCGAGCCAGCTGCGGTGGACGGTTCAGACGACGACTTGTTGTTGGGGTACAGCGATCCAGACGACACGCCACAGCGATCCAGCCGAACCGCTGTGCTCATCATAGTGTGCGTGTTGCTGGTTTGCGCTGTTTGCGGCATTGCGTTTTGCCATGGTCGTGCTGAACAGTTCTTCAACGACGATCCGAGTGGCAGCGACCAGGATTCATGCCAGAGGCGCGGCGCGAAGAGGACGCGCCAAGCTGAGGTGGAGGTCGGCCCCGATGCATGCGAAAGTGACCTCGCAGAGTGATCCTGAACAGTCAAAGTAGCACTCTGCGAGATCTATTGGATCTTCATGCGTCACCCCACACATCGGGGCCGCGATGGGCTTCGAAAGGACACCGTATCGACTCTTGGGCTACACCCCTATTAACACGAAGGCCGCGAGTCAGCCATAGAATTCGTGGAAGCATGGCCACGAACAGTTCTTCGTTATCTGCGTCTCAAGCGGTGTCTCTAGAAGCTTCGGAAGGGGGCGTGTATGGAGTAGGCCTTCGACACGTTGTGTGTTCTCTCTCTCTCTCTCTCGTTTTGTTTCTCTCTCTCTCTCTCTCTCGTTCTCTCGTTGAGTCCCTCTCTGTCACTCCATGGATACAACATCGGGACAAGGCCAGTTCATCATCGGAACACTGCCCGCACTTGATAGGGGCACGCCAGTCCACCACAGGGACGCTGCTGGGACGGCGGTGGGGCGTTATCGCGGTAGCGTGTTACATCGGCCAGAGTTGGTGATAGTGTTTTGATGTTGGTTCCGTTTCTTGTTATTGCATTGTTACCCTCTTTTACTACTCACACATTGTCTGGAGTGCTTCGCCCTCTGCCACCGGCCTCCCCTCGGATAGCTTGCATGGCCACGCTTGGTTGGTTGGTTTTGGTTGATTGTTCTGTCGACCGGATGGTTGTCAACTCGGATGGTTGGCTTGTTGCCTGAATAGATGTGGTTTGTGTTGTGTGCTGGCTGGCTGGTGTCGCGCGTCTGTATTCATTGATATGGGATGGTGGCCTCGGAAGCGCGCAACTTTCGTAATGTACGACGGTCGGCGGCCTCGGGAGCGCGCGAGTGTCGAAATTCTTGACGTTTCGCTTTGGGAGCCTCTGGGAGGTATCTTTTGGACCATCGTGGGGCACTCTTGGAACCATTTGGGAGGCTGTTGGTGTTCTCTCGGGGTCCTTTTGGTCTCCATTAGGACCCTCTTGGGGGCATTGAGGGGCCTCTAGGGCGCCGTCGATGAATGAAGGGGCGGGTCTCAATTACGCCCCCCCCACCCCCCGGAGACCGAAAGCATAACTCGTTGAGTCCTCTTGGGGCGCTGTCGGGTGCTCTTGAGGCCAGTTTGGGCCCGGTTTGGGGTTATATTGGGCCATACTAGAGCCATGTCGGGGGGCTCAAGAGCCAACCGGAAACGAAAAGGCGAGAATACAAATACCCAGGGACGTACCAAACCCTTTCGATACTCGAGGCGGCTATGAGCAGGACCGCTCAATAGAAACGACCACATTGAAGGATCCGCAGAAAGTGCCACCGAGCCGATAGGTCTAGTCTGGTTGCTTGCAGGACGCCACTGCGCTGGGCTCCGAGGAGCCGAGGAAAGCGTCGACAGTTGCGCAGGTGGCAGCCCCGAGACAGGGCTGCAGGCAGGAGAAACGGGGCAAGAGGAGGGGGAAGGCAGGGAGGTAGGTTGGAGAAAGCAACGCTCTACGCAAAGCGAGAATCCATCACAGGATGGTTGGAAGTTATCTTGAGCAGTATTGCGCTAGCTTGTGTGATCTTGGAGGCCATCTTGGGCTGTACGGGGCCCTATTGAGGCCACCTTGGGTCATCCTGGACGCTCCAACCCCTTGCGAAATACCAATCCTGATCCAGGAAGATGTGGGAGAAGTAAACATCTTCCCTGAGGGAAAGTTGAGGTTGGAAGAACGAACTTCTTAAATCACCTGCACCCATAGGACTGGTGGGAAACCACTTACGCCCAAAGGGTTACCGAAGAGGTGGGATACTTGGTTGATCAGCGTTTTTGCGACACCTCAAGGAGCCTCTCAGAGCGGTAGATAGTGAAGGCCGCAAGTGGCCCCTGTGCCCATGCCTGAGTCTGCCGCGGCCCCCTGCGGCTCAAGGAGTTCTGGCGAGGGAGCGGACCAGGCCCTTCGGGGGCTCCGGGCAGCCGCCCTGCTCACGCCGTGCCTCTGGGCTCCGCGGCGTCCTGATTGCAGCTGCGTGGCCGACTGCACGGTGCCGACGGAGGTCTTCGGGCTGCTGGGCACGCAGCTCGACAAGTGTGGCCCGGGCTGCCCCACCCGCTCCGAGCTGCGCTACCCTAAGTCGGGGACGGCGCTGGGGGCCTTCGCTGCGGGCGCGGTGATCGGCGCAATGGCTGGGTCCGACGCGGCGCCAGCCTGTGGCGGCGGCCGCTGCCCCGCCCGCGCTCCTGGGCGACGAGCTGCTACAGGCGCGGGGCGCGGGGGGCCTCTGGGCTTCGAAGACCTCGGAGGACGAGGGGGGGCTGGAGGCGACACCTGCGTCCCTGCGGGCTAGACGGCGCTGACGGCGCAGAGCCTCGACATCCCCGAGGCCCAGGTGGCGATCGACTTCTTCGACGACAAGAACGGCTTCGACTCCCACGTCCACGTCCTCCTCGTGTTGGCGGGCGCTGACGAGAGGACCCGGGTCACCCCAGACCACAGTGTGCAGTTCGGGGACCTCCCAGCGCGCCGCGCCATGCTGCTCCCGAGGATTGTGCCATGCCCTCGGCGTTTGGTGGGTCAGCCGTATGTTTTCGACCCTTCCCAGGAGGGCGAGCTCGAGGCCATCCGGAAGCAGGCGGCGGTGTTGGCAGCGGCGCTGGGCATCGAGGTGCCTCGAGGCGCAGCGATTGCTCCGCCTCGCTGGGTGGTCGCCGACCCTGTCCACCTGCAATTCGGGCAGGTCCTCGGCGCAGCAACCAGCGGCTCTGGGGACCGCTTCATCCGGCAGGGGGCGGTGGCGCTGGCCATATTGGATGCCGACGACGACGAAGAAATCTTCGCGGTCTGCGAGAATGCAGCAGTGGCTAGACAAGAAGCACTCAGGGCCCAGGCGGGGCCCACGGGTGCGTCTTGTCCGGCAGGTTGGTCCAGGCGGGCCATCGAGTCGCATCGTCCGCAGACCGCCGACGACTGGGTGTTCCGCGTGCCGGAATCGTTGCCGGAATTTCAGACCAGCGCGCGGGCCTCGGGCCTGGGCTTCGCTGGCCACGCGAACCACTACATCACGAGCGGCGGGATCCCGCCCGGCAGCGCGGCGGCCCGCGAGATTCGGTCCCGGCTCGAGGCGCTGCGGCATTTCATCGAGCACGACAGGTCGATGAGACGAGCCTCGCTGGGGCCGAACCCATTGCAAGAAGGATCGCGCAGATGCAGCGGGCCATTCGCGGGAATCCGAAGTGCCGCGGCTACTCTGGCCCGGAGGACACGCTGGCCTCAGCCTTAGACGAGGCGGGAGGGGTGATCACCAGCCGGTTCGACGAGTGGGTCGCGCAGGAGCAGACGACAAAGGCGGTCATGATGAAGGACACAGGGCTCTACGCAGAGGAGAGGGACGCCGAAGCAAAACGGTCTGGCGGAAGCGGCGGGGGAGGCGGCAACAAGGAGTAGCCTGGAGCGGGCCAGCCCGCTCTGCCCGACCTCCGCCCCGGAGGCAGGCTCCTGGCGGCCAAGGACCTGCTCCGCGACCGCCGCAGTGTCGTTCCCAGTTTTGTTTCGAAGGTTTCGTCGCCGGCATGGCGCCCGACCCCTTCCCCCTGGTGCTGCCCTTCGACTTCTTCGAGGAGACCAGCCGAGAGCGATCGGCAGGCCGCCGATCCGCTCGCCAGCGTGCGCGGCGGGACTGGGCGCGGAGGGCCACCGAGGACATCTTCTCAAGTCAGAACGCCCCGGCCGCCGCTCGAGCGCCACGCGCCCTCCGACCTGGACGAGCGCGCCAGACACCCACGCTGACCCCCTCGCAGGAGTCCCCGCTAGGCCGGGCAGTCCGCTCGGCGGCTCGACATGGCCCGCCGCCGCCCGACGCCCAGCCGAGAGAGGCCTTTCAGGAGGAGCTTCTCAAGTCCAGCAACATCTACTCCGAGGGGGGCCCGTTCACCGTGCGGCCCTTCGCCCAGGACGAGGTCCCCCTCTTGCAGGGCGCGGCGGAGCCTCGGGAGGCGTTCGACCTTGTCCCCGATCATGTTCGACAAGTTTCGATGGATCCCGAGAGGTTCCTGGAGCGTCACTCCGACGAGCTCTCAGACGAGCCCCGCGTCGAGCCACACTGGGGCCCCCCTCCTGAACCCGAGGGTCCGCGCCAACCACCCGCGGTTGCTCGCGTGGCTGCGGCGCCTCGCCGACATGGGGATCACGGTGGCCACTCGCCGAAAGAAGGCGACGGCGGGCCTGTTCTTCGTCGAGAGGAAGGGCGACCACCTCCGCATGATCGCGGACGGCCGGCAGCCCAACCTCCACGGGCTGCCCCCCCAGACCAACACGGCATTGGCGGAGGCCCTCGCGTCGGCGCAGGTCGGGGCAGACCGGCGCCGGCGCTACTCGGTGAGCTCGGACGACGCCGCCCTGCATGCCGCCACGGTCGACTTGAAGGACGGCTTCCACCAGATCAAGATCGCGCATCTGTCCGCGCGGTTCGCGTTCGACGTGCCAGGCGTCCGCGCGGTGGACTTTGGCGCGCGGCGCGTCCACGACGGCGACGCGGGCGCCTCCGTCGAGGTTGCCCCGACTACGCGCGGCCGGCCTACGGCGGGCAGGCGGTGGGCCGGCCCTGGGCTCTCTGGATCCGCCACGAGACGCCGGCTCATGCGATGTGGTCCTCTGCGGGCCCCGGCGATGTCACGGTGCTGGACAAGGCACCGGCGGCGCGCCTGGAGCGCGGCACGGTGGGGCCCCCCCGTGCGTCGACAACGCCGACGTCATCGGGGTCGAGCGCGACCTCGCGCAGGCCAGGCTCGAGCGCGTGACTGCGGCCCTCGACCTGCTGGGGCTGAAGTGGCACGGGAGGCAGGGCGCGGGCGTCGAGTTGGAGATCCCGGGCGTCACCGTCGACGGCGCGCCGGGCCTCGTTCGGCCCAAGCCGAAGCGTCTCTGGCTGTTGCGCGGCGGCCTGACCTTCCTCCTACACTTAGGTGGCGGACGGCTGCGGGCTGGCAGACGCGCGCTGTCCTGGGCCACCTGGTCTCCTGCTTCCAGCTGCTGGGGCCGGGGCTCTCCGCCATCCGCGCCCAGCGCGACTTCGCCCAGCGGGACCTCGGGGAGATCGGGGAGCTGCCGGCGGCCGCGCTGCACGAGCTGAGGGTGGCCAGGTCGTTTCTCTTCTTGGCCGCGGGCCGCTGGGGGTTGCCGCCCTGCCCCGTCGCGTTCGCGACGGAAGCTTCAATGAGCGGCCGCGCGCCCCTGGAGACCGACGCGACGCCCGACGAGGCCCACGACCTTTGCCGATGCCGAGAAGGAGCCCGCTTAAGCAAACGCGAGAAGTTCGTCGAACGAGAACGGGACGGCTTCAGGTGCCCCCTGGCGATCGGCGACGCCGGCGAGGGCTTCTGGGACGGCCTACTCGAGCGGGCCAGGCCGCGCGACCGTGCGCCGGAGCGCTGTCGGGTCGAGGTCGACTCGGGGCGGCGGCCGCCGCCCCTGCCTGGCGACTTCGCGGACCGGAGGCGCCGGGAGTTGCCCGTGGCAGGGGCGTGCCGAGATGCGAGCCGCATGCGCGACTACGAGGCGCGTTGCGGGCTGATGGGCCTGGCGCGGGCGGCCAGCTACCCCCCGTGCCATGACGCGGAGCTCCTCTCCGCCGGGGGCGACATGGGCTGCAACTGGCCTCCGGCATCGCGCGGCGGCAGTGCCGCGTCGAATGGGCGCGAAATGCAGCGGCCTACATGAGCAGGGCCGCGGACCAGGGGTTGCTCCGGCCTGGCCAGGACTTGCGCGGGCCGCGAGGTCGCCTTCCGTCTGGGCGCCCCCCGATCGTCTCTCCACCCGTGCCCCGAAACAGAAGACGGCGCGGGGCGACAGCCGCGACTGCCAACAGGCTTCCCCAAGCCCTTCTCGAGGTCTCCCTTTACAAAAGCCTTGGGTTCACAGGGGGCCACAGCGTCAGAGCCCTGGGCGTCGGCGGGCACGATTCGAAGAGCTACTCCCACGGCTTGCACGGCTACAGCTCCACGCTCCACCAGCCCAGCGATTCCCGTGACCCGCTCGAGGCCTCGGTGCCCCACCAGAACCTTGACGGGGCGATCCTCGCCGAGTTCTCTGGAGCTTCGGGGGGCTCAAGTTCACCGTGCCACGGTGCGCCCTCCAGGGCTTCGACTGCCACCAGGTCTGGGCCCCCCTCCCGCTCTCGCGCGCCTCGGAGGTCAAGGGGGTCAGAGGCCCCGGCGGGGCCGACGCTTCTTCCTGGAGGTCTTCTCGGGCGAGGGGTATTTGACTGGGGCCACCCTGGAGACGGGGCTGCGGCGGGGGCCCCAATGGACTTCAAGAAGGGCCTTCACTTCGATATCAACCGCGGACCCGAAGGTCCAGAAGGTGCTCATCAGATGGATCCGTTCTGGCGCTGTTTGACCCGTGCATCTAGCGACCCCGTGTGCGCGGCGGTCGATCGCGCGCCCCTCCGGCTTCGCCGAACCGGCCGGGGGCTTGGCGGCGGCGCGGTCCACGGCGCGCCTGGCCCAGGAATGCCGGCGGACGGGGGCCCACTACAGCCTCGAGAACCCCCAGTGCTCGCGTCTTTGGATTCGGAGACCCTTGGCGAGAGCGCTCAAGTCGGCATCGGCGGCCCTCGTCGACCTGCGGCAGCGCCGCTTCGGGGCGCCGCTCGAGCAGCCGACGAGGATAGTGGCCTCCCACCCGCTGTTTGCCACGCTGGGCCGCGAGCGCAGGCGTCGGCGGCGCTGCGAGGCGCTGCGGGGGAAGGCCTGCGTGAAGGGCCACTGGGGGCGGAAGACCAGCCCCGCGACCGCCTATCCGCCGAGCCAGTGGGCCTATGCCGGCGTCGCCCAGCCCCTGGCGCCCCCGGCGGCAGTGCGACCAGACGGGGAGGCGGAGCTCGAGCGCCGCTGGGAGCGACAGCCGGCGGCCGCATGCGGCTGCGACGCCGTCGGGGTCGGCGCCCCGCGCTGCCCGCTCAGGCACCGGCTGCCTTGGCACGGCTGCCGACGGCGCTGGGACTAGGGCGGGCAGCTGCGCTGGGCGGGCGCGGGCCGAGCCGCGGGGCAGGCGCCGGGCTTCCTGCGGCGGTCCACCGCGCTGCAGGCGACGGCGGCGCGCTACTCGGACTGCGCGGGGAGCTCAGCCGCCGGAAAGCGGCGTCGGCGGTCGCGACGATCTCATGGGCCGCGACCTCCAGTCGACGCGGGCGGGTGCACTTTTGCCGGCGGTCTTCGACGGCCACCTCCGGCCGCCCAAGGTTTTGGGCTCGCGCGGCGCCGACGTCTTGCGGCCGCCACGTTCAGACCCCCAGCGGCCGTGGGCCGCCCGCGACGGCGGCTCCGGCGGCGCAGCCAGTCCCGTCGAATACCTATGCACTCGATGACTCCGTCTTCCTCGGCAGCGCCGCCCAGGGCCAAGGCTTCGTCGGCAACATCTTAGATGTCTCGCTGGCGCGGGCGGGCCAGGGGCCGCTGTTCGGCGGGCTCACGCTGGCGCAGCTCGTGACGATCGCGAACAAGGCCAGCCGCCGCCTGCAGCTGGCCGCGGCGTTCACGCCACATTGCCTTCGCTAGGAGGGCACCAGCCGTGACGCACTAGCGAAGCTTTGAGGATCTGCGCGGGATCCAGCGCCGCGGTCGCTGGAAGGCCCGTGAAAGCGCGCGTCGACGCGAGAAGGCCGGCACTCTGCTTCGGGCGCAGTCAAAGCTCTCACAGCCCCTCTTGTCGAGAAGCCTTCGCCTAGGCCCCAAGTGTGATGTTAGCCTTCTATCTTCTCAATTGTTTTTGGTTGTAGGCCGTCGTTCTTCGCCGCCCCCAACCGCCCTCGCCTGGCCTGCCATGTCACATGTATGGGGCATTGTTGTCATCGGTTGGCAAAGACAGGGTGCGGCGCGCGCGTGCTGGAACCAGTCTTCGCAGCACTTTTTCGGCCAGCAAGCCGGCCGCTCTGGAAAACATTGGAGTGTTGGCAAGAGTGTGTGGCCATATCGTATTTTCCTGTCCTCGTGGTCCGTCTTGCTTCTCTCCTCTCTTTGCCATGCAGGGCGAGAGGCGCTGGATGGGTGTCGCACGCTTGGTTGATGAGCGTTTTTGCGACACTTCAAGGGGCCTCTCAGAGCGGTAGATAATGAAGGCCGCAAGTGGTCCCTGTGCCCATGCCCGCGCCTGCCGCGGCCCCCTGCGGCTCAAGGAGTTCTGGCGCCCACCCTCCTCTCAGCCCTCGGGGTTGACAAAGACAGGGCGCGGTGCGCGCGCGCTGGAACCAATCTTCAAAGCACCTTTTCGGTCAGCGCAGCCGGCCGCTCTGGGAAACGCTGGAGAGTTGGCAAGGGCGTGCGCGCGTGTGATCATTTCATATTTGTCCTGTCCTCGTGGTCCGTCTTGCATATTTCTCTTCTCTTTGCCATGCAGGGTGGGAGGCGCTGGATGAGCGTTGCATGCACATTGGTCTGTGGCCCTGGGAGCACGCATGCGTTGCTTTTATGAAAGTAGCGTGGCCTCGGGAGCGCGCGCGCATTTCAATTTGAAAGGGATCTGTCGCAATTCGCCGGGGACTGGAGCCTCGGGAGCGCGCATCTATCACTATTTATCGAGATTTGCGCGGCAGTGTGGGACGCGCGATTCAAACTTAGGAACAATGCGCCATGGGAGCGCGTATCTTTTGTAATTTCGACGGGGATGAGGCCAGATGCGGTCGAGAAGAGCGCGCACGTCGTAGTTTACAATGGACAGTGGCCCCAGGATCGCGTGTCGGTCGCACTTTACAGGGACCCCAGGAGCGCACATGTGACGTAGTTCGAATGGAGCATTTCGGAGGACATGAGTATGTGGCTTCTCTGCCAGGGGGGGTCGCGCATTCTGCAACCCTCAATTTCAAAACTAGGAAGCCGGATTCAAAAATCGGAAACGCTGGAGCACAGGAATTGCATTGGAACCCAGGGATTGAGGAGTGAGCGCAGGGTGCAGAAACCGAAGCCTCGCAGACTGGTGGCCCCCAAGAAGGCCAGTGGATGTGCTCACGGCTTCGCGTCATTCATGCGTCCTTAACGTGCACAATGTGTTGAGAATGCTAGATGACGTCGTATCGCAGTTTATGTTATCGCGACGCCGTCCAGGATGTGTGCGAAAGGTTGCTTTGTCACCCCCCATATCTAACGTATGGTCAGGTTTATCATATTCTATGTTACCACGCTTTCTTTGCACTTCACCTCGGCATTTTCTATCTTACGCTCAAAGCACGGCAGCGAACGTCCCCACACGCAAACACAGGGTATGCCACGGTTGTCCGTATCTGTTCATCTTGCTTTTTTGTTTGTGCACGGAGGGTCCATTTGCCGGTTTGACCTTGCCGAGGTTGTACTTTGCCGTTGGGTGGTTGGGGGGGTCACGCGTGGACGCTGTCTTCGTCGTCGAGCACGCCATTTTGCCGACTCGTCCCGTCCCCTTGCGGAACTCTGTGTTTTGGGGCTTCTCGGCCACGTGTAATTGAGCAGTGCTTGAAACCGCTATGTCTTGCGCATTTTGGTGCCCAACCCTGCATTGGCCCGTTCTTCGTTTTGAATTCAGCCGCTGCTTCCTCAAACATCGCGCACGAGGGGGCTCTTGCTGCGACTCCTGAGGGGCGGACTTGTTGCCAGAATTTGGGGCGGTGCGCGCTCAGAGGGTCCCGCCCACAAGGTCCCACCCAGCGGGCGCATTGCGAGAGGCAGGGAAGGGGGGCACCAGGCGCTGCAGGACGGCCCTGCGCTTCAGTACGTGCCCGAGAAGGGCTACGGGGGCGGGAGAGGGCGCGCTCGCGCCAGATCTGGCATCCTACCCCTCCTCACCCATCCTGTTTTTGTTGCCCCTTTCCTTGTCGCTGATTGTTTCTCTACCAGCTGGCAGGTGTCATAGCGGACCTGGAACATTTAAAATTATTGCAATGTGGTATGAGCAATCAGATGGGAGCTGTGCGCATTGTACGCTTGGAGGCGGAGGAGGAAGATGAGGAGGTGGCGAGTGAGCAGGAGCATGGGCAGGAGGATTAGGAAAGAGGATGAGGATGAGGAACGGGAGGAGCGGGAGGAGCAGGAAGACCAGAGGAAGGCGGAGGCAGGGAAAGGAGGGGGTCGACAACGAGGAGGAAGGACTCGATCCAGAAGTGTGGCCCGCGTAAGGGCGAGAGCGCCATTCTCAGCGACGGGAGCAGAGCGCCGATCCTGAAATGAACCAATCTTGCAGCGTGAGCGCCATTCTGAAGCATCAACGCTCTCCGCTATTCCATGTAGCTTATAATTTGCATGCGTGAGAGCGACCTGCGGGCGAAAACTGGCCCCGCTTGGACAGAATCGGTGGAGATAGGGGAGTAATACATGCTCAGGGCGTGTGGTTCTGAGTGGACAGGGTAGGGAAAAGGAACGTCGGAGAGGCACGGGATGTCAGGGGGAGTGGTGTTTCGCGACGCAGTTTCGGTTATTTGTTTTCGGTTCGAAGTTGACCTGCATCTCGCTTCCCAGGGCGTTCGCGCCAGGTCCGAAAAGTGTTTGGAGTACTGAAGCCATCTTTTGGGCTGCCGAGGCCCAAACCAGCCCTCCAATCACCAAATTACATTTTCAAACCTGAAAAAGGCCGCCCCGAAAGTCTTGACCACTGACGGTAGATGTTGCTTTCCCGTTCTTTGTTGCCGCAGGTCTTGTACCCGCAGCCGACAGTCGATTGGTTCCCCAACGTCGCGCGCCACCCGTCCTTCTCAGACGCCCTATCCCCGATTGGCTTCCAGCCGGTCTCGCAGGCGTCCTTGACGGTCAAAGTCCAGCCACGGGAAGGCCTTGAAGTTCCCGCCTCGGCCTCAGGGCGCACGTCGCCGGTTGGAATCGATCTGGTGGCCTAGCGGCTAGGCGGCCGACAGACATCCAGCGTCATAAGATAGCCGTGACAGTGATTCGTCGTGGCTCTAGTATTTGAAGGCCCGCTTCGGGCCCAGGGACCCTCACAGATCAGTCGGGTGCGCGAGACCTCGCACCTCTTGCACTCGAAACCTGGCTTCAGGGTCGTTGTACTACCAAATTGCACTAGTGTTCCCCTGGGCCCCACCAGGAGGTTCCAAGAGCTCCCAAGATGGCTCAAGTGGCCCCAAGAGCTCCAAAATGACTAGAAGATTGCCCGAAGGGGCCGCAGGAGGACCCCATGAGGACCATTGACGGCCTATACGTTTGACGTTCCCCTCTTTTCACACCAACATGGTTCCAAGATAACATCGGAAGGGGCCAAATAGTGCCGATAAGAGCCCAAGAGTGTCGCAAGATGGGAGTCCTGCGGTAGTTGGCGTCGAGTTTGACAGCAGGTTGCCGTCACCATTGCTTTGACTTGTTGGTGGGGGTTCTGCGATGTCTGGCTCCCTGAAAGATGTGAGCTCGGCGCGCTGGTATCGCAGGGGTTTTTCTCAGGGAGAGATGTGCTCTTTGTTTGTTCGTGAGCCTTTTCCGTCAGAACTTGGTTGCTGATGCTCTGAGGTGTCCGCGTACCCCGCGGGTGATTCGACATGCACGAGAGGTACCTCGGCGGCTGCCCCAGGACCTATGGGGCAGCCGCCGTCACAAGCTTGTGATGTCGGCGACGTGGTCAATGTGTTCTCGCGGGGCGCTGGCCGGTGGCTGCAATGCGAGGTGGGGAGTTCAATCATTACGCCGTGTGTTCCAATTGATCCTCGTCCGTGCACCGACGAACTGGTAACAAAAGGGTTTGCCACGAGGGAAGGGCCGACTTTGAGGCCTCTTGATCCCTCTTGGGGCCGTCGGAGTCCAATTCGTTCCTCCTCGTGTTCGTCCTTCTCCATCTCTTCCTCCTCGTCTTTATACTTGTCTTCCTACTCGTTGCCCTCCTGCTCCCCTCGCTGCCCTCCCCGTCATCCCCGCGATCATTCTCGTCATCCGCCACCTTGTCGTCGCCATCATCCTTCTTTCATGTTCCCCCCTACGAGCCACATGGGCAAAATCGATGCTCCCCTTTTTTGCCCAATCAGGTTTTATGGAAGTCTGATTCCAACAAGAAGCAACAAGCAGAATCCGGGGCACGAAATCCCACTTTACCAATGCACCCAGGGATGGTGTAAGACCTTTCGGCCCCTTCACTCTGACCACGTCGCATCGCCGTTACAAACCCGCGAAAGTCGTGCATCTGGTTTGCCACAAGAATTTCAACATGAAGCTGGACTTCTTCCCGGATTCAGACAAGTCAGAGCTAGATTTCTGGGCAGCATTTCGTCAGTATGTGGCACGCGGCCACTAAAATTCCATGCTGCGAATACTAGCTGTGCATGATCCAATATTTCAGGCTAGGCTTTCTTCCTGCGTGCTCCTAAAAAGAGAAGCTGCCAGGTGGCAAAGGTTGAAGGTGCTCGTGTGACTGTGACCCATGCCGCGGGGCAGCTGACGCGCCGGATCAATTTGACGGATCCAGACATACGGAGCTATTTTCGCATCGCCTCAGATTCCATCATGTTTCTCCAGTCATTACATCAAGCTTCTCTCTGCATGTGTTATTTGCGACCCTCGACGTTGCTGGAAGACATCATAGAGCGTATTCAACGTGGTGCCTCAAGGGACATGAGGTTCTGTAGCTATGAAACAGCATCTACGTTCCGCACAGTATCTGGCCTTGAGTTGACCCGAGCCATCCGTCATCACTATTGCCATCGCTATTATCCAAATTGATCTGCTGAGACGCATCTACCCCCACTGCTCATGAGAAGCAAGTGCAGGATCCAGTGGTCAGACTGCTCTGAGCGCTGTCCAGTACATGGATGGTGCGATCAGCGATCTATTGTCGTGGACCCCAGCTCGGACTTCACGGCAAGATGCGTTGAATAAGATACTTGCGCATAGAACCCTAAGAACGAATTCGGAAGTAGTCGGGAGCATATTCAAATCAAGAAAGACAGAGTCGTTCAGGACTAGTCTAGGTTGGTGGCGAGCCATCTGAAATATCAAACCATTGGGTTAGGCGGAGCTAGTCCCGACCGAGCCGAGATCTCGCCACCTTGACCACTAAGTGAACGGGCTAGTCGGGGTTCGGAGAGGCCCGTCCCAAACTACTGGAAATCCTGCCCCTCCAGGGCACGCGGCTCGTTGGGGCCCATCCCGAACCAATTGAAATTTCGCGCGCCAGGGCAAGGGACTGGTTAGGGGCAGTCTCGGTCAATGCGAAAGTCCGTGCATAGGTCGGGGCCAGTGCCAAATCCGTAAGGGCTTCGCCCCCTGCCGCCGGCCCCCTCTCTCGGAGAATGGGCCATGGAAGAGCTAAGTCATGAGGCCTTGGCGCTGTCGTGAAGCAGTATCGAAACTTCATGCGAAGCCGATTCGCAATCAGCAAAACCAACTGATCACGAGAGGGGTGACGGACCGCGTGGTGACCTCGGAATTCCCAACGACCTCACCGTGCGGTCCGTCACCACACCTGGCGATTGGTAAGACGTGTATGGTTTACGGGCTTGGTTACCACACCTTGCGAGTAAAGGGCCGAGGGAGTTCTCGCAGTTTGGGTTACCACGCCTTGCGATGGATGTGCGTGAAGGGTGGCACCGAATTTCAGAAATGTGCCAAATCCCCTGTGTTTTTGGCGCTGACCCCGCGGATCTGCGTGAGGGGTGGCACCGAATTTCAGAAATGTAACAAATCCCTTGTGTTTTTGGACCCTGACCCCGCGGATCTGCGTGAGGGGTGGCACCGAATTTCAGAAATGTGGCAAATCCCCTGTGTTTTTGAACCCTGACCCCGCGGATCTGCGTGAGGGGTGGCACCGAATTTCAGAAATGTGGCAAATCCCTTGTGTTTTTGGACCCTGACCCCGCGGATCTGCGTGAGGGGTGGCACCGAATTTCAGAAATGTGGCAAATCCCCTGTGTTTTTGGACCCTGACCCCGCGGATCTGCGTGAGGGGTGGCACCGAATTTCAGAAATGTGGCAAATCCCATGTGTTTTTGGACCCTGACCCCGCGGATCTGCGTGAGGGGTGGCACCGAATTTCAGAAATGTGGCAAATCCCCTGTGTTTTTGGACCCTGACCCCGCGGATCTGCGTGAGGGGTGGCACCGAATTTCAGAAATGTGGCAAATCCCTTGTGTTTTTGGACCCTGACCCCGCGGATCTGCGTGAGGGGTGGCACCGAATTTCAGAAATGTGGCAAATCCCTTGTGTTTTTGGACCCTGACCCCGCGGATCTGCGTGAGGGGTGGCACCGAATTTCAGAAATGTGGCAAATCCCTTGTGTTTTTGGACCCTGACCCCGCGGATCTGCGTGAGGGGTGGCGATTTCGAGCCCCTCCAGCAATTCAGACAACGCGCCCATGGGACGCTAAAAAGCCGGTTTGGGCCTCCCCCCCCTCGCGCGGTCAATCATTAGTTACAGTAACCAGCAAGAAGGAGAACAATCAACTAGTTACAGTAACCAGCAAGAAGCAGAACTGTAACACTGGAAACTACAAGCTACAACTGGTACAGGAGGCTGCGAACCCCGCTCCTACAGCCTGGTGGCCCCACAAGGGGGCCGGCGGATTTATTGGAATCCCGCCAAAGCAGAGCAAGGTGCTGGCGGGAGCCAGTCCCGAATTTACGGCAGTAGGACAAAGGCTTGCGCATGGGTCACGAGTGGAGCGTGGGAGTGGCCTCGGATTGTAGTCTACCGTTTTCGAGGGCGCGCCTTAGTGTTTGCACCACGGTTGGGTGCCCAGCGACGTCCGGATGAAAAAGATGACGAGGATAGGGAGCATGGCACAATGAGCAGCAGAAGTCGTTATTCCGAAGCCATTTCGGTTCAAGGCAGCATTCGGGCGCGAGTTCATGCCCGCCTTCGCTTCGGCCGCGGCACCCCAGGAGTCCCGCGAGTCGTGGCGGCCCCTCTGGCTCGAGTACACCGCCGCAGCGGCACCGCCGCACCAGCCGGACCCGTCGCACCTCCGCCCTCCGCCTATGCGCAGGGGCCGAGGTCGAGACCGCCGCGCTGCCGCCGCGGGAGCTCCTGAACACCGCCGACAGGCGCCGCCAAACCCGTGCAAGCCTGTATGATTGCATAGACATTGGAGCAGCAGACTGTGATGCAGCGTAGGGGCTTTACAGCGATCAAGAGATATTCCAGCGCCGACGCCACCGACGCCTCCATCATCGCCGACATCACCACCACTTCCGACGCCCGCCCCACCAACGACACGGACACGGACTTGCGATGATTACTTGGAGGTCTTTGGTGGCCCAGTGCAGTTGGACATCATGGGAGCGTGTGTCGCGACGGGAATCGTGCAGTCTGGCCGATCAGTCTACAAGACAGCTGGTTCTTGCTTCGTATGGTTTTACTTCTGTCAGCCGTGTGGATTTTGGAGGATCGGCCCATCCTACTTGAGTGCGACAGCCCAGGTTGAATCAAGCGGCACTGGTGCAGACCTCCTGCCACGTGCGACGTAGGCTCTCTGATACGGAGCAGCATGGGTCGCAGGCATCACAGTTGTGGCTCCGGCGGGCGTTCAGACACCTTACTGCGATACCTACCTGGGTGTGACATCTGTTGGCCCACCCTCACCGAATGTTTGCGAAGTCTCAGACTGCCAGATGTTCGATCTCTGCATCAGTGGCGTGTGTCGAAAGACTGGTTTTTCACTAAGGGCTATGGCACCGAAGTCGGTGAGACTGAATGGCCCGAGGGCGTGTAAGATATGAAATCTCCGTGGCCGATCCCAGCACCGACACCAGCGGCGTGTGGGTTTTTACCGGCACCGTCGTGCCCATGCATGTTCATTTATTCTACTGGTTGCAACTTGCCCGATTGCCTGACCCGAGTGGCGGATAGGCAGTTGTGCGAAGGTGACAGTGATCTGCCAGATGATTGGCAGTCGCGGGCGACGCCGGGTATGGTGGCAATTTTAATCGTTTGGTCCTGCGGCTCGGGATGTGTGAGCGGCCTTTTCTGGGTTCATGCCAACTGCAGTTGCTGCTGCCAGCTGGCATCATCACCGACACTGGCGAGCCCGACGCCAAGTCGCACGCCCAGTCCGACGCAGTCACGAACATTACACGGTCCAGTTCTCCGAAGAACCGCCCGAGAATTTGGAGAACTTCCTGGAGGACCTGGAGAAACCGTTGGAGGCCCCAGAGAACCCAGAGACACCCCTTTAGAGACCCCCGAGAATTCCCGGGAGACTTTGAAGCGTCTGGAGAAGCCGAAGAATCCCCTGAAGAAGCCTCCAAAGGACCCCACCCCACAGAGACCCCAGAGAACCCCCCCGGAGAACCCGCAGAGCCCCCCGGAAAACCAGAAGCACCAGGCAAGATTTTATCCCACTCGCCCAGCGCACGGGGAGCCAACGGGCGCCCACTGGGCGAAACCCCGCCACACCCGCCCAGCCAACGGGGCGCCCGCGAGACGCCCCTGCGGCCGCCCACCAGGCGAAACCTCGCGCCAGATCAGCGAAGTAAAAGATCTTCAGTGCAGGGCGTATGTCGAGACAGTTTTTGGCTGCGTATGGCCGTCTCGGTTTCTACGGTGGTTCCATTTCCAAGGCTGCAACGGTTACAGCCCAGTTGCTTGTGCGATTCATTTGTTCATGTGCATTCCGTACATGTTTTTGCAATTCCGCTTCGGTTGTCATTATCAGAGTGAGGGGGCCGAACGGTCATTCATTGCCCTTGGGTGCGTGGCTGAATAAGGAATTCGTGGTGGGAATTCTGCTTGTTGCGTTGTTGCTGTTGTTGTTGAATATTATTCTTTCTAAAGAATAATTATTGTTGGGCCCCCTGGTGCACGCCCCCCTCGCCGCTCTTAGGCCGCAGCCACATTTTCATCATTTTCGTGAGGAAGTCTCAGGCAAAACGGGGGAGTCCGGATCCGGTTGTTTTGTTGACGCCCGCTTTCCCTGTCAAAAAACAATATAAAATGACATGTCTTGTTCTAACATAACCAAACTTCAAGAATCCTTTGCAACAAATGACACGAAGTGCACACTCGCGCGCGCAAGATGAAATCCTTCCAAAACCTTAGTTTTCGTAAAGATTTAAACATAAAAACATGAAAGACCCAATGGTTTTTCAAAAAAAAAGTTTCAATAATTCATCCCGCGCGCTCTTGCGGATTTCTTAGGAAACCCAATACTTTTTCAACATTTCTGTCAAACGTGCTCTTGCGAGCAACTTTTTCACGTGCTTCGAATTTCTGCAACAACCTGTCAAATAATATGGGACACATTCGTTTTCTCTTCGCGCGCGCACGCCGAAATCTTCAATTGCAGGGGGAAAAGTCGTATACTAAGCTAGCTTACCAAAAATGTTACCACAACAAGTCATTGCACCCATGCGCCAGTGTAGTAGCCAAGGTCGTCCGCAGGCCACGAAGTGAGGTGTCCGAACGTCATAGGGCGGGAAGCTGGGTGTGGGTGGTGGCGAAGAGTCGTTTGGAAATTTGGTAGAGCTTGAACCGGCCCCCCCACAAAGTGGGGGTATTGCCCGCCTCCTATGAAAACCCTGGCACTGGTGAGAACGGAGTGTCCCCACGTGCTAGTAATTGTTGTTGTTGTTGTTGTTGAACATTATTAATTCTAAAGAATAATTATTGTTGGGCCCCCTGGTGCACGCCCCCCCCCCGCGCCTAGGCCGCAGCCACATTTTCATAATTTTCGTGAGGAAGTCTCAGGTAAAACGATGTCATCCAGATCCGGTTGTTTTGTTGACGCCCGCTTTCCCTGTCAAAAAACACTATAAAATGACATGTCTTGTTCTAACATAACCAAACTTCAAGAATCCTTTGCAAAAAATGACACGAAGTGCACACTCGCGCGCGCAAGATGAAATCCTTCCAAAACCTTAGTTTTCGTAGCGATTTTAACATAAAAACATGAAAAACCCAATGGTTTTTCAAAAAAAAAGTTTCAAAACATCATCTTGCGCGCTCTTGCGGATTTCTGAGGAAACCCAATATTTTTTCAACATTTCTGTCAAACGGGCTCTTGCGAGCAACTTTTTCACGTGCTTCGAACTTCTGCAACAACGGTTGCGCGCATGCCAGGGCCATCATCCCTGTCAAATAATACCATATTGGACACATTCGTTTTTTCTTCGCGCGCGCACGCCGTCGTCGTCGGCCGCGGGGCCCTGAATAGTAGCCACGGTCGTCCGCATGCCACGAAGTGAAGTGTCCGAACGTCATAGGGCGGGAAGCTGGGTGTGGGTGGTGGCGAAGAGTCGTTTGGAAATTTGGTAGAGCTTGAACCGGCCCCCCCACAAAGTGGGGGTATTGCCCGCCTCCTATGAAAACCCTGGCACTGGTGAGAACGGAGTGTCCCCAGTCTTAATGATTGTTGTTGTTGTTGTTGTTGTGGTTGTTGTTTCTGTTGTTGTTGGTGGTGTTGTTGCTGTTGTTGTTTTGTTGTTGATGGTGGTGTTGAACTCCCATTTCTGAAGAAAAATTATTGTTGATCCCCCCCATCCAGTGCACATTGATTTTTCTCGATTGAGGTGCCCTTCCTGGGGCTCGCACCTTGTTTTTTATCAGGGCAAGTCTTGAGCGTCAAACTGTGTCGTTGGCCCCCGGGTTACAACAACAACAACAACGGCTCCCGCCTGAGAACTCCTCACAATTTAGCCAGGACCCCCCCTCCCGCCCGAGACGTCCTTGCATTTTATTCAGGAATCGCGCTCTCGCTTGGGACTTCCTGGCAATTTATTCAGGAATCGCTCTCCCGGCGCTCTGGAGTCGCGCTCTCGCTGGAGACTTGCTTGCAATTTATTGACAAATAGCGTACTTGCGTTGGAAATTCTTGCAATTTACTCAAGCACCGCGCTCCCGACACCCAGGCACCCAGGAGTCGCGCTCACGTTTAGGACTCCCTCACAGATTACCTAAGAATCGGGATCTCGCTGCCTTTCGTGGCCCTGCTGCAGCCCTTCGTGGCCCCCTCGCTTTGTTTCGTGGCCCCATTGCAGCCCTTCGTGGCCCCCTCGCTGCCCTTCGCGGCCCCAGTGCAGCCCCTCATGGCCTCCTCGCTGCCCTTCGTGGCCCCGTTGCAGCCCTTCGCCTCGCTTTGTTTCGTGGCCCCGTTGTAGCCCTTCGTGGCCCCCTCGCTGCCCTTCGTGGCCCCGTCGCAGCCCTTCGTGGCCCCGTTGCAGCCCTTCGCGGCCCCCTCGCTGACCTTCGTGGCCCCCTCGCTGCTTTTCGTGGCCCCATATATGTATGCCCTTCGTGGCCCCCGCTCGTTCGCGCCCGCGGTGGCCCCATATGCATGCCCTTCGTGGCCCCGCTGTCGCCCTTCGTGACCCCCTCGCTTTGTTTCGTGGCCCCATTGCTGCCCTCAGTGGCCCCGTCTTGCCCTCCGCGGCCCAGTATACGTATGCCCTTCGTGGCCCCCGTTCGTTCGCGCCCGTTGTGGTCCCATGTGCATGCCTTTCGTGGCCCCGCTGTCGCCGTTTGTGGCCCCCTCACTGTCCTACGTGGCCCAGTTGCTACATTCAGTGGCCCCGTCGTTGCCTTCTGTGGCCCCGCATGATCTGCCCTTCGTGGTCCCCGATCGTTCGCGCCCGTCGTGGCCCCATGCGCATGCCCTTCGTGGCCCCGTCGTCGCCCTTCGTGGCCCCCTTCCTGCCCTTCGTGGCCCCGCTGTCGCCCTTCGTGGCCCCCTCG